CAAATTTGACCTTTTGACCTTGGCCTTGGAGTTTCACTCACTTTTACACAAACATTCCAAACTTTTACTTTGGCCATATCTTTTTAACAGTAGATACCAGGACATTTATCCTTCATATATTTTTTTTAAAAAGAGTTTTCATTGGATACCAACAACTTTGACCTTTTGACCTTGACCTTGGAAAATTCCGTACTTGTGAAAAAAATTAACCTTGGTCATAACTTTTGAACGGAAAGGGATAAGTCTTTCAACCTGTACATATGTAATCCTTGTAAAAAGGCCCTTCATTTGATAGAAAGAACTTTAACTCTTTGACCTTGACCTTGGAGTTTGACCATATTTAACAAGCAAACCATGATCATAACCTTTAAACGGTTAGGGTAGTGCTTTCATCCTTTATACATTTAATCCTTGTGACAAGACCTTTCATTTGATAGCAAGACCTTCGACCTTGACATTGGAGTTTGACCTACTTTTATAGACCTTGGTCAAAATTTCTGAACGGTTAGGGCTAGGGCTTAACTTTTCATTGGTTACCAATGACCTTGACCTTGACGATTTCCATACTTATGAAAAAACTTTAACCGTGGTCCACTTTCATATTTCACAATTGTATTTCCAGTGAGAATACCCTGCTTTTGGTTCCAATATATTCAATAAATTTGCATTTAAGAAAAGTTTATTCTTTGCTTTTGTTGCAATACGAGGGCATCAGTGTTTCACAAACACATCTTGTTTGTTTGAACATGTTGTTTTTATTGAAATAAAACAAAACACATTGATCTGGTATTGTTAATCGCATTTTTATCTTAACAATCCAGAAAGAGGTTTTTCATGAACTGATAGGATAAATGTGAATCATTCATAAATCTTTTCTTGATTACTTTAACAGTATTATCTTGTAAGTCAATATTTGTCAGAACATAAAAAACCCGATAACTTATAACATTTTTCTGTCGTTATCGTTTGTTAAACCTCGTCTAGTCAGTGTCTTATTGACATGCACTCCGTCCTATAAGATACGTGACGGTAATTAAACTTATTGTAGGCCTTTCAACATGTTCAACTGCAGCTAGGGTTTGCTGTTATGAACGATTACTCGTTGCTGAAACTTGTTTAGAGCAGGTCCGAGGTATCTAACTGTTTATACGCAAGTCAGTTTTTAGCATTTCCCAAGTGTTTCTTTGCTGTCAATAGAATTCAGTGGTTTTGAAATTTAGCACTAATGTTAAACTTATTTACTATGTAGTTGCAGACACCTTTTAATTAGATATGTCAAGTTTTTAATTAAAATAAAGAGTGAAATCTACCCTCCTTCTTAGTTCTAATCTGTTTAAATGTTTATACTCGGTCGTTCTTCTTCGTGCTAGATAAAACAAATAAGATAATTAATTGTTGCATTTACTTGTAAAATGCATATATTTATATAGGAAGCGCAAAAGTGCACACAAAAACATGTCATTATATGTTCTTCCTCATAACAATCGTCAAAGAGAATTAAAAATATTGAATATAGTCTGTTCCCAATTCATTTGACTCTGTTATTTCAGGTAGAGTGAAGACATTCCCCTTGAGTTCTTTTTGGTCAACGCTTTTGTGTACAAAATAATATAAGGAACCCTTTTGTGTACATAATAATACCAATGCTGAAATAGCCTATATGTCATTCCTATAAACGATAACTCATAAATCGGCACTTACAAATGTAGATGGTCTTTTTTCACACCTGAGTTCCCTGTCCTTAAAACACAGCATCGTACAATTCAATTATAAATAATTAAGAGCCATTCTCTATAAGAACCAAAATTTCTCAATAATGGGTGGTAAGGTGATGTCACCGATTTTGATCAAATTTTATATTTATTACTTATTTAACACCCTTTCTTGAAATTTAGCAAAAAAAATTTAATTGGGGGTTCCGTTACCATGGTAACCATACATGGCTCAAATATGGCCTCCTAGACGCTTCTCACAGCACTGTTTTTACCATTTTTTAATCAAAAATAATTAAACAACCGAAAAATTTGAATATGAAATAAATATATCTGCTTAAGAACAAGACTGAAAGCAACAAAAAGATGCAAGTTATTTAAATTTGTCTATCATCCTTGTATCTAATTTAATCACTAAAATCTCAATGTTTTGCTAAATTGACCATTTTTTGAAAAATGCATTTTTTATACATTTTTGAGCATAAATTAAAGAAAAATGCAGCGACAGATTTTCATCTCAATCAAGTATAATGTGAATTTGAACTAAACGAAAAACATACAAAAAAATAAAAGGTGTGTTTTTTCTTAAATCCAAAATAATTGACTTTCAAAATCGTTGCCATGGCAACATCAAAAATATATCAAGATAGATTTACTTGTGTTTATACATATTTTTTGGATTAAAAATTGTTGGAAAAACTAAAATTTGGATCAATCTACATGTATCGCATATTAGTGCAGAATTTTGATTTTTTAAATAAGATTTGCTAGTTGTCATAGCAACTATATATGTCCATGTATTGTGCTTTTGTTGTAAAAAGAGACATAATTATGATCTTCATATTCAATTTTCATGTAAAAAAAAATTCAATTAGATTAGATTTAATTCATTTGATTATTTCATTAAAAGATTTTAATGTGTTAATGTGTTCATTGGCACATGCACAGTTGTCATGGAAACCTTTCAAACTTTCATTTAATATAATATGCTGTATAATGTTCTATGCGTGTGAGTTATAGTAATAATACTGGTCTTTTTAAGATCAAACAGAGGGTGATACACCGTAACATTGTAATTCAAACAAGACCCCATCTATTCATCATTATGATACAATATTGAGAAAAGGGATGAATCGTAGTTTATTCTAAAATATTTGAGTAGTTGCCATGAAAATAGCCATGTTGAATTTTCCTTAGCAACAAGTCTTTCAGTGTTTCAAGTGTTTAGACAATGGGCTAAAAAGCATATTTTTCATTTGACAGCGGAAAGACAAAATTAGATTGAGATGCTTTCAAAAAAATTTCTTCGGTAAAGATGTTTTTACGGTGTACATGTATGTTTATTAAGTGTTTTACATGTTTTATGCCCCAGTAATCAAAGAATATGGGTATATACATGTAGTTTTTGCCCTCTCAACCATTCTGTTTGTTTGTCCACAAAAATATTAACATTGTCTATAACTTTTATATTGTTGGGGTTATGGCTTTCATATTCAACATAATTTATCTATTCCCTCAAGATTTTTCATTGTGTACCAAAATATTTGATATCTTGACGTTGGAGTATGACCAGTTTCGGAGGAATTTACCCAATTTTTACCTTGTCTACAACGCGTGAAATTTTGTGCTAGGGGTTTCATACGTTACTGTGACAAGTCCTTTGCATGGATATATGAATTTATAAAATACATATTTTACCTTTTGAACGTCACCTTGGAATTTGACCCACTTTAACCTTGGGAATGATTTTTGAGCAGTTACTATTAGGACCTTTATGTTTCATAATTGTATTCAATTCAACAAGGCCTCCCCAAACATACAAACAATATTGACATTTTGATCTTGGATGTTGATGTATTTTTGAAAAGCATAAACCATGGCCATATTATAACAATTGGTACTAAGACTTTAATATTTCACTTGTGTGTTTCTTGTAAGGCCTTCTCGTTTGTACCTTTTATTTCACCTTTCCACCTTGACCTTGGAGTCTGACCCACATTTAACTTTAGCCACGACTGTGCCAGTGCTTTCATATTTCACACACCTGTACATTCATTGAGACAGGTCGTTTTTTTGAGTAGCAACACTTTTCATTCACAAGAGGCCCATGGGCCACATGGCTCACCTGAGCACATTGGCTAGGAAATAATGCAGAAATCATTTCAGTATTGAGAAGTTTACATTGGGGTTGGAGTCTGGAATTTTAAATTACCAACTACCTGATGATGCTTCTATAAAACAAATGCCTTTGCTGTTTCTGCGCAGATGATTTTTTTTTCCTATTCATTCATTTGACCTCCCTAAATTGTGGTCCAGCACTACCCCTGGGAGCCCTCATTTGAACCTGTATGACTTTGTACTACCTGAGAATGCCTCAATTTCAATATGATTAAACATGGCTGTTCTGTTCTTGGGGAAAAAAAATTCCTTTATATTTCTAGGCAAAACTTTGATTCCCAGTTATGGCCTACCCTATCCAGCCCCTACTTCCCATTCATGACTTGAACAAACTTGAATTAACACTACGTGAGGATGCTTACTTAAATATATGACCAATCATGGCTTTGTGGTTCTTAAAAAGAAGAGTTTTAAAAATTTCCAGTGTATTTATTTCTGTGAAAAACTTAAATCGTCCATTGAGGGGTCATGATTTGAACAAACTTGAATCTACTGGTACACTACCTGACTACCTGAGGATGTTTTTGCATCAGTTTCATCTTTCCTGGCCCAGTGGTTCTGGAGAAGATTTTCAAAGATTTTGCCTATATATTCCTATGTAAATCTTTGATCTTCAGTAGTAGCCAATCCCTACCCCTGGGGGTCATGATTTAAACCAAAATGGAATCTAAACTACCTGAGGATGCTTCCATATGAGTTTCATCTTTCCTGGCCCAATGGTTTTTGAAAAGATTTTTAAAAGATGCCATTAATTTTTCATTAATTCATAATTATCTCCCCTTGGTAGAGGGCTTGGCCCTTCATTTGAACAAACTTGAATCCCCTTTACTCAAGGATATTTTGTGGCAAGTTTGGTGGAAATTAACCCAGTGGTTCTTGAGAAGAAGATGAAAATATGATAAGTTTACGATGACAACAACGACAAACAAATTTTGATCAGAAAAGCTCATTTGAGCCTTTGGCTCAGGTGAGCTAAAAAGAGGTTGTTTTTTTAAAAAAGAACAAATCTTGTTTTGGAAATATGATACATGTTTTTATTCGTTTAAAACAATTGATAAGCATTCAATGTTGATATTTTGATATCAAGCTGTTAAATAGGAGAGTGGCCCATTACTATAACTGAATGAACACTAAAACAGGATTTTTCCTCAGAATTTAAATTGTAAAATTCTATACAAGGTTAGGAGAAGTCTACTACTGCACCCAACTTAACAATCACACAGAAGACTGTACATGAAAATCATAAGGAAAATATATAGAGAACAATAGTGTGCAACCATCTTTGGTACACATGTAGATGTTTTCCTCCCTTTTAATTTTTGTAGGCAGACTGTTTCACAATCTCTAATGCTCCCTGTGATACTTAACTTTGAATTTGAAAAAGATCCACTTTTGGAATACTTGGGAAAGAGATATACTTGAGAAAAGAAGTTATTTTATGTTGATATCTAAGCCATGGTTTCAGTAGAGTTTTTTCTTCATTTTCTGTGCATGTATCTACAACCACTCTGACTCTTTACTTGACAGTTTTCAGAGATTGTTCAATAACCTGCAAAAAGAATAAAATATGCAAAAATTAAACCAAGTTATAAATTATTTGAAAATACATGTAACATTCTATGAAGCTGAAAGTATTATAAAATAAATAAATGTAAATGTAGTGTAGGAAAGGAGAAATGCATGAAGAAAACATATGGCTGGACTGGGAATCGAACCCGTGACCCCTGCATTACTAGTCAGGACTCAGGTGCTCTAACCACTGAGCTATCTAGACTGATATTCAAGATCCGTATAGCCCTAACTTCTACAGTAGTTATTACCCCCCCCCCCCCTCCCATGTGCTTCAAAGGAGAGGGTGGTATATTGTTTTATCCCTGTGTGTCTGTCTGTCCATGTGTATGTCAGTAGCAAATTTTTGGTGTCAGTTTTTCAGCAACTACTCATTTCAAATGCTTGAAATTTTTGCACATTCTTTACTGAGGCATGCCATCTGATGTCAACTTCCTGTTTGTGCATCCGTCCATATCATACAACAGAAATTTTATAACAACTTTCTCAGCAACTAGTCATTGCAGATGATAGAAACTTGAGCACATTCTTTGCTGAGGCATGCAATATAGCAGGATTAAATTCATTTCTGTAATCTTACTATTTTCCTGCATCTGCCCGTTATTGAACTTGTTTAACATTAACATGATACTAAGTGTATATTCACATCAGAGTGAGGGTATTACTATTGTGCATTGGCTCACATACTTTTTTTTACAGCTCTTTTCAAATCAAATCTGTTATTCCTGTTTAAACTTCACCAGTGCTGGTTAATACAATGTAGTGCAAATTAAAATGAGGAAATATGCCTCATCATAATTTTGTTTCATAGACCTTTAAGACAAAAAAATGTTGAAATAAAATTGTATGTAATGTGGGTTAAAAAGTTAATGACCTTGACAACCGAATGAAATTCTTAGTAGTAGTTAATATACATAAACAGGGCAAGAAAATGATGTCTGTATTTTTAATTTGATAATCCTCCTTGGGATTATTTAAATTTGATCAGGATTGGTCAAACTATCAAAAAAAAAATTTCTTAAATTTTTTGCAATTTAATTTCTTTCTTTTTTTTTAAATTGACTGACTACTAAAATTGTTCATTTTAGTTGTGACAATAGTTTTATGAAGATTTTAATCATGCAATATAGACCTTCATATTTTTCACTTGTTAATAAACATCAAATTTTAAACTATAAGCATTTTGTTTGCAAAAAAAAGTTTTTAAAATTATTTTCTCTGAAAAATGTCCAATAAATTGAATAAAATAATTAAAAGCTAATACCCAGGTCTCTCAAGGCTGATACAGACATAGTTTAAAAGGGATGTCTTAAAAGTAGGGATGTCAACGAGTACCCGGTTAACCGGGTATGTGGCAACGCACTTTGAAAAAATTACGCACTTTGAAAAAATTTTTCAAAGTGCGTTAATTTTTGGGACCAGGTTAACGCACTTTGAAAAAATTTTTTTTTTTCAAAGTGCGTTAATATGGACCATATTAACGCACTTTGAAAAAAAATTCTGCATGGCTTAGTCAATATTCCTACAAATCTTAAGTATGATAACTTATCATTTGAACCTGATTTGATACTTTTTTTCCCCGCTTGAAAAGGGGGGGGGGGTATTAATTTGGGTCTACCTGTCCGTCCGTCCGTCTAGCTGTCCGTCCATCCGTCTTTCTGTAACGCTTTCGTTTCCACACGATATCTCGACAACCCTTTGAGCTTTTGCAATGAAATTTAACATAACAGAATCCCTGTGGCCTTAGGAAGACCCCTTTTGAAATTGGGGTCAAAAGGTCAACATTCAAGGTCGTAAAGAACTACGAACGATAGTATTATTCTTCCGCCATCTATAAGTCAATTCTCAAAAATTAACATCTTGGAATGATTCTCAAAATTTTTATACATATTTATATGAATTTTCATAAAACCTTACTTATTTGGGATACCAAAGAGAGATAACTCTATAATTTTGGCAAACTTGTGTTTTCCACTATAGAAATCAACGGAAAACTGAAAATATTTTTTAAACAACTCCCCCCCCCCCCCCCCCCCCCCGTGAAACAAAAATTCCTTTTTACAGATAAAATGGACTGTTATTTTACAAGTTATTTCAAAGCTTTTTGTGTTTCACAGGGGGGGATATGTTTATAGACAAAGAACGAAAAAAAAAATGCTTATTTTTCACCAATTTTAAAGCTATTTAAAACTAAATTATTGTATTTTATTAATTTAATATACATGTTTTATTTATTAACGTAAAACATGAGAAAAGATATTAGATACATGTTAAATGAACAATTCCTATGAAAATATCATGTAAGTTAAATACCTGGAGGTTAACAGAGAGATTATCAAGTTCAAGTTCAAGTTCAATTTATTCACTCAGACCATATCAATGGTACATGAGGTTCAACAATATGTACAATATATACAAAGAATAATATACAAGATACACGTGAAATGGCGGAAATATTCATATAAAGTAACACAGATAACTATGGAGGACAGACTTTTTCATATACTCTATTTATGTAACAACTTAGTTTAATCAATAGTTTGGAGTCAGCAGATGACAACAATTCTGATAATTTGAAAAAATTTGGTCTATTACAATATTTACTGGGAAGATATTTTTTTCTACATTCGGAAAAATATTTGCATTCTAAAATGTAGTGATACTCATCAGCTATTTGTCCATTATTACAAAGATTACATTGTCTATCATTTCTGGGAATCCCAAACCATCTCCCAGTCTCAACTGGAAGACGATGATTTGTTGTTCTTAGTTTAATTAATATTGTTCTAAATTTTTTGGTAGTAAGGCTAAATATTTTTCAAATCCAAATTCTGTTTTGAAGATACTATAAAAGAGACCTTTAGATGAATCGCGTATATTACTTTGCCACTTCTGTATGTACTGATCTTTAAGACGTTGATCAACTATAGCCTTTAGCCATTTAATATTTATAAAGGTCTGTTCATTCCACACATTTGAGAAGCCACAACTATCAAATATATTCTTAATACATAAAATCCAAGGATTCTTATGACTTCCTGTACTGAACTGTTCAAATAAATGTCTATATGTAACATAAACAATCTTGTTTTCAGGGCTTACCAATAATTTTGCCCAATAGGATATCATTCTCGAATACACTGTTATATACAAAGGGAAGCGACCCGTTTCGCCATAAACCATATAACTAGGAGTACTACTTTTTAGATTAAAAATATGTTTCAAAAATTTAAGATGAACACGTTCAATTATATCAATGTTCTCAAAACCCCATATCTCACATCCATACAAAAGTACTGGAGTGACAACTTTATCGAACAAATCAAGCTGGCAATCTACTGGTAAATTAAATTGTCGAATTTTTCGTATAATTCCATACATGGCTTTTTGAGCTTGCTCACATAAATGTTTTTTAGTTTTACAGAATGAACCTGATCGAGAAAACAGTATACCTAGGTATTTAAATTCGTTCACAATTTCAATAACAGAATTATTGTAATAAAATACATTCTTAACAGATGGACCTTTCGAAAAAATCATAATTTTTGTTTTGTCTACATTGACAGTCAGTTTCCATTGTACACAATATGAATGAAACTCATTTAGAGCATGTTGTAAACCCTCTGCAGACTCAGACATTATAACTGTATCGTCAGCATAGAACAAAATAAATAATTTAAAATACATCAAAATTTCATTTTCTACAGAGTTTGAACTGCTTATATTATTAAAAGATAGCCCATGTACATTTTTGCTGGCCAGAAACTCTTCTAGATCATTAATATACATAGAAAACAGGAGAGGTGATAAATTTTCTCCTTGGCGGACACCAATGTTACAATTGTAAAATCAGATATGGTATCAAATTAACATCGAAAGCAGACAGGTACTTAATATTATTAAATGTAATTAATGTAATTAATATTCTGATTTTCCTGAAAATGAACATAAATAGACTTTGAGATTTAAAAGAAAAAAATTTCAATTTACTACAGACTTCCGTGTACAGTGCTTATATTGTATTAGATACAAGATACAAGATACAAGATTTTATTAATCCAATTTGGGCCCCCGGAGGAGCAAAAAGATTTACAAATAGAAGGAGGAGGATCCAAATGATAGAACAAGCATGATGATGATATTACAAATAAAGAGCAATTGTTAAAAAAACAAATACGCAAAAAAGTATATGATATATACTGAATATACATACATGTATTGTATTGTAAGTTACATACAAATATATAATTTATACATATATATAGTTAAAGGCAAGAAACTGGGAAATAGGTATATAATTTTTTATGCTTATCACAATATCTTCAATTAAGGTAAATTACTAAGGAATCCAGCAAGAGGTCTAAGGATGTCTGGGTCTTCATTAGTCATGAGCCAATAAAATTGATTATCATAAGATAGAGACTGAAAATTTTTACATTTAATTTTACAAATATTTATGAGTTCAAGTCTTTGTACATTAAGATGAGGACATACAAGGAGAAAATGAATTTCATCCTGAATCTCGTTGTGATGACAAAGTGAACAAATTCGTTCCTCTCTAGGTATCTTTTGGTAACGTCCAATTTCAATTTTAAGCCTGTGAGCCGATATTCTTAACTTTGTTAAAACTGATCTATGTTGATTGTTTGTAAGAATATCTAGATAAGGTTCAAAACAAAATTTAGTCTTTATGCTGGTAAAGGTAGACAATTTGCCATCTTTATGTAAATTCCTGTCTTTTTCCCATTTTAATTTATAGAAATTCAGTAATATTCTTTTCAAATTGATTTTAAATTGTGGGGTTGACATACCTAGGAAATCACTAATTTTAATGTCAATATGGTTAAGTAAAAAGTTAACACAAGAATACCATGAAGTAAAACCATTTTGGTGTAGTGTTTTAGAGCAGTTAAAAGCCTCACTAAGCAAGGGAAATTCACCATCTAGATTCTCTAATCTATGCCAGTATAACAACATATTTTTAATGACATCAAAATGTAAATTCAAACGTCCTAGCTCAGATCTTACAGCAAAATTGCTGCTTTTACCATGAACCATTAGTAAATGTTTGTAAAATTTAAGATTTAAAATTTCGCCTTCTAAGCTTTGGTATATTTTGTCTAGTGTTATATTTGGATTTCTCTTAAATTTAGAGGTTGTTGGGTCAAAAAAAAACCCATAACTCCGATCCATACAGGATAATGGGTTTAATAGTGTGGTCAAATACATTTAAAGCAGTTCGAATTGATGGATTAAATGTTAGAAAGTCTTTCTGAAGTTTGAAATAGGCTTTTTTGGCTTTGTTACAACAATCATTTTTAGCATTACTTAGTGTTCCAGATGCATTAACAGTCAGACCCAGATACTTGTATTGTTTAACACATTCAATATTGTTGTTATCCAGATGGAATGGAATTTTAACGTGTTTGCCAGATGAATTGAAGACTATAATTTTTGTTTTCTTTGTATTAACTTTGAGACACCAGTCCTTACAGTATTTACTTAGTATATCGAGTTTTTCTTGTAGACCTTCAGCAGTTGGGGAGAGAAGTACCATGTCATCAGCATACATTAGGCAATGAATGGACATAGATGAATCATTGTTTAATTTTACAAAACTTTTAGAATTTGACAGATAATTTGATAGATCATTGAGATAAATCTTGAATAGGTTTGGGCTCATGTTATCACCTTGTCTTACCCCATTGTAAGTACGGAAATGACCGATTAATTTGTTACCCAATTTAATAGAAGAATAGCTTTTAGAATACATATCCTTAACAATTGAGTAAAATTTAGTGCTAATACCAGCTTTTAGTAGTTTAAGCTTCAGACCAGCATGGTTTATACTATCGAAGGCCTTATAAAAGTCAACAAAGCAAGCATATAGCTTCCCTTGTTTTGATTTGCAGTATTTTTCGACAAGTGTTTTCAAGACAAAAACATGATCTGAAGTTCTAGCTTGTTTTGTAAATCCTATTTGACAAGGATTGATTTTATCATTGCATTTTAAATATTTATCTAATCTTGAGTTAAGAATATAGTTAAACAGTTTGCCAATTGAGCTGGTTATTGTGATTCCTCTATAATTGTTGGGATCATTAGTGTTGTTAGATTTGTATACTGGAGTAATGTATCCTTCACACCATGAAGAAGGATAATATCCATGAGTTAAGCAACCATTAAAGATTTTCAGTAATATTGGTACCAAGACCGTTTGACCATGTTTAAGCATTTCATTACATATTCTATCAGTACCAGCTGCCTTACCATTTTTAAGTTTTAAGTATTTATAATGCTCCTTTTTTCAAATATCATTGACACGTAAGTTTACGAGTTATAGAAATAGATACATCTGGGTGGGAATGATAAAGAGTTGAGCTGATAGACCTTAATTCAGCCAGTCTTTTCTTCGTTGTCCGTTTCTAGGTTTTCCTCAATCCATCAGTTTTTAGAAAGAAACACATCAAAGTAAGGGCACCGCAAAGCGAAGCATTCCTTCCCCCAAAAACCATGTTCAGTAAATCAAGGCAGCATTTGACATCGATAGCGATACAAATTACATCAATTCCACACAGAAAAAAATAACATACACATAAAGTAATAACACACATAATCGCATCACTATATCCCATCATACGTTGCGAGGGGGTAATACTGTTGTCTATTTCTAAAATATAAGTCTAATTCCTTTTGTTTCATGAAAATTTTTTCAAAGTGCGTTAAATGTTGACATGGTGTAAAATTATGATGTACAGTCTTAACGCACTTTGAAAAATTTTTTCAAAGTGCGTTGATTTGGTCCCAAATTCAACGCACTTTGAAAAAAAATTTCAAAGTGCGTTAACCTGGTCCCAAAAATTAACGCACTTTGAAAAATTTTTTCAAAGTGCGTAATTTTTCAAAGTGCGTTGTAACACGGGTACTCGATCGAACGTCCGAGTATCGAATACTAAAATCGGTACTCGGTTACTCGGATGTATATTTTTAAATATTTCTAAGCTTATTTATTAATTCATTTAAACATCGGTTTTAAAACGTAAAATGTTCATTGCACTTGTACATATAGTAATTAGGGTTTCCTACTCCTCTAAATGACCGTTATCGCCCGTGGCAGTGTTTATACAGTAATTACCGTGACCAAGCACCTGCTACCTACCTGGCCTTTCTCACCTTCGGCTGTCTTCTACCCTAATGTTTAGTTTGCTCTAATTATTTGTTTTCATTGAACATCGTTTAAGGTCTATTATATTTAAATAAATTAGATAACTTTGTATTCCCCAGAAGCCGTAAATTCTCGGGGAAAGAGACAGACGATATTGCAAGTGCGATTGTTGATATGGATGCGTTTGATTGCGTGCCAACTAATGCAAATGGTTGAATGCAAAGGCTTTAAAAATCTTATGTCCATCGTTGCACCAAACTACAACATACCGTCTCATAATTTTATGAAATCTAGGATGGAAAAGTGTACGAAGATCGTAAATCGGAGAACTTGATCAAGTTGATACTATACATGTAGCTCTGACGACTTATCACTTGGACTTCAAATGCATCAAAGTGTTACATTACAATTAGCGAACAGATTATTTTTTAAAACAAACCACTTTGAGCCATTTATGATTCTATTTCTCGTATTTATCTGATAAAAAAATTGAACTTAAAAAAAAAATGTTAGATTAAATTTCGTCGGCACAAGTGGTCATTATTGTTACAACACATTTACAGGTAAACCTTCCATCAGACCATAAGGTTGTATTTCTACAAGATTTAACAATGTTTTACAGTTTTCAATTAACTTGTTCATATTTATTTAGACTTCTACCGAGTACCCGGGTACTCGATCGGAAAAACGTCCGAGTTACCGAGTATTAAAATTTGACCGATTTGACATCCCTACTTAAAAGATCTATTAAAATTCTGGTGTGGCATTTCTCCTGCAATGGAGATCTACAATATGTAGTACCTCTTTCATTGAATCAGCTGTTAGAACATATCATTGCCTTGAATGAAGTAGCTCTTTATGTTCATTAAGGTGTGGCTGAGCCTAAAATAAATAAGCACAATAAGCACTCCTTCTACTGTAGTGACAAAAACATAGCGTTTACTGTTACAACATTGTTTATCCTGGAACTTTGTAAAATACACATAACATATATATAATGCTAAAATATTTGATCAAATAAATTAAATTATTCGGTGTAAATTATATAATTTATTTTTTATTACTATATTTCCAATAGACCATGTATGTACCAGTAACCTTGTAATCATTGTTAGATGATGTCTTGTATAATTTTTTTTTCATTAAAGACATCTTTATTCCAATTTGTTTTCTGTTTACTTTTAAACTGTTTACTATTATTATGAAATTTCTAAATGACAAATTAAACTATGAATGATAGCTTGCATAATGAATAATAAATTACAAACCTGATCATATTTCCTGTTTTGATTGTTAGCTAGATTTTCATCCTCTTCATAATGTTTTCAACTTCATGAGACAGGCTGGTGCATAGAGCTAAAAGTTCAAATTGAATTAAGTTTATTTGAGCAGATAATCAAAAGATATATCATTCATACAAATCTTGTTTTAATATAGTTTTTTTAAAAGTACTATATGCTTGTTAAAATAATTTAAGCATCCCCTAACCCATTTTTTAAATAAAAATTTATATTAACATTTGTTTAAACATTATAATCATGTTATTTAAACCCTAATAAGAACATTTATTCAAAGACTGAAATGTGCACTTTAAAACAATACATAGTCCACTATACATACTAGTAAACACTGACTGTACAATACTCACAGGTTACAGGAAGAACAAGTCCTCTAGTACTGGCTCTAGCCTCTGTGTATTTCGAGTAAACCATTGACTGGGATCAGTCTGTTGCATTTCTGCTTCTCATGGAATGAATTATGATTCACCAGATTTTTTTTAAAATAAGGAATGGCACTTGAAACTTTCTTCTTCGTACATCACTCAGTCACCAGCTGGTCACAGTTTTGTTTCAACGGCAGAGAAAAATGTGTGGAACAAATTTCCTTATTTTCAGAACTGGACGGCAAAATACCACATTCTGTTAGTATTATGTCCTTATTATTCATATCAACTGAATTCAAATTAAATACATCTCCTGACAAGTGGAATTTGTAGTAAAAACGAAGCAGCAAACCAATCTGAAAGTCTTCTGCTGGCAAAAAACATTCCTTTTTTCACAGGAAACACAAAAGAGTTACACGAAGGGAAATAACTCTTGATAAAATTTAGCACTTTTCTCTTGAAAAACAGCAAATTTACAAGGCTTTATTTTCTTTATTTTAAATAACACACCTCCAATTTTTTTAAGGTTAACTTATATATCTATAATCTTGTTACAGGATTAGTTAAGTTGAATTGTGTTGCTGCGTTTATGAGTTTCAGCCACTTACATTATAAAGGAAATAATAGCAAATGTGACAAAAGTATGACTTGCTGGTTTCCATGGAAACAGCAGTATCCCGTCATTTTGCATATACCAGTATACTTGACTAGTAGTATGTATTAATTTACCAAAGTTTTATTAAAATTGGTGACTATGGCTTTCCATCAAATTTTGGTGCTTATAGAGAATTGCTCTTAAATGTTTTAATGATTTAATTAATTGTATGCATGAAAAGTTATTATCTTTTTTGATAATTTCATGTACATATAAATCTATAAATGAAATGATTTTTTTACCGTATGTGCAACTTGAAAAATTAGTAGAAAGGCCTACTTATTGAATAGCTACGGTTACACTACATGAAAAAACTGCGATGCACAAAAATAATAAAAAGAAATCAGAAAAACCATCCGGTCGGAGGAATCAAACTATTTAATATGAAAAAAATTTAGAATATTACCAGCGTAAATTATAAAATTTTAAAATTTCACAAGTTAGAGAGTGATACTGAAATTTGCATGTAGATACCTCGAAGGGCATCTAGAAAAATCCTTGGCACCAAACTTTAATCCAATAAGTTTAGCGTTAATTTTTCCATTATTACATGTAATAATTGCAGAATTTTGGGACACAAACGAAGAACCACATATACAACTTTCTTAACACATATCTTTTGGCTAAGTAAGGGAAATTGAGATTTGAAAAGTTTACTCTATCACGTTTATTAGAAAGCTTGGTTGTTAGATAACCATTAACCGTACGTCTTTTTCGAGTAAAAGATCTAAATATGAAATAGATGTAGCTTACATGGCAAAGGAAATTGTTATTGAAAAATTTTCCACAAGCTGACTATACCTCTCTGTTCGTTTGTTTATTTTCTTGAAATATTTTCATTCATTTTAAAACTCCACTGCTTGTCGGTGACCTACAGCCAGCACTCTGGCCATTAGGTAGTGAGAAATCTTTTTTCCTGCCATTACCTACATGTACATAAACTGGAACGCAAGACCTCTGTTTAAGCAGTCTAATTGGTCGGATCGGTCTCCACGTTCTGCAGAATATTTCAAACCAGCAGCGTACATGAATAAGGATCAACTACTCACTCAGTGTCACTAAAGTAAACGCTCTTACCACTGTATGATGCTTGGGACAAACATAGCTAAGAATTATGCACGTTTACTCTCTATTCCATTACATTTTGGAACCATAAAATTCAATATAAATAGCAATTTGGCAATATAATCTTTGTTTAAAACGAAGAACAGTTCAATGGTAATTGATGAATTGTCTTAATACCAGCGCTAAATAGTAAATTATCAATAATTCCAGCTCCTGAAAACAGGGTAAGACGATATTTTCAATTGAAATCGGACTTTCAAGCACCACTATATTTTGAAATAATCTTGGATATGATTAAATGTTTCTTATATCTTTTCTTATGTTTTAGGCAAATAAATAAAACATTTAATTAATAAAATATAATGTTTCAGTCGTAAATTGCTTTGGAATTGGTGGAAAATAAGCATTTTTGTCGTTTTTGTCAATAAACAAATGTCCCCCTCCCCCATGTCACATAAAAAGCTTTGGTTTGAATGTGTGAAATAAGAGTCCATATAACCTGTAAAAAGGATTTTTTGTGTCACGGGGGGCGGGGTAAAAATATTTTCCGTTGATTTTTATAGTAAAAACAGTTTTACCAAACTTTTAGAGTTATCTCTCTTTATTTTCCCAAATAAGTAATGTTTTATAAAAATCCATATAATTATATATAAAAAATATTAAAAATTCATCGAATATTTTAACTTTTGAAAATTGACTTGGAGGTAGGCGTGGTCGAGAACAATACTATCATTCGCATTTCTTTGCATCTTCAATGGAATGCACTTTCATTTTTGATTCTTTATTGATTGATTATATGTTGTTTTATGTCCCTCTCGAGAATTTTTACTCATATGGAGACTAGATCTCTTGCCGGTGGAGAGCTAGAAATTTTGTCCTACGGTATCCTTGGTACTCAGGGCCATTGAGCAGTGAGGGGTCTTTTTCGTGCGAGTATCTACTGCGACAGAGGACTTTACGGTTTATACGGTCTCATCTGAATGACCGATCTTCTTGTACCATAATAGGATTTAAACCCGCAACGTCAGGAACGACTTATTTCGCGACTTTAGAGCAGACCTTCTAACCACTGCGCCACGCAGGCGACTCTTAATTTTTAAGACCTCGTGCTTGATTTTCTCGAGGTCTCTAAATGAAGAAGATATACTTTTTTCATTCAATGTCTTAAAATCTTCAAGGAAATTCAGATTTTCCAGAAGTATTAATTTTGATTGATTGTATGTTGTTTTACATTGTACGACCCTCTCGAGAATTTTCACTCATATAGAGCAGGGATCGAGTAGACATTGGCTTTACTATTCGTATTTATAGTGTAGGCAAACCCATGAATATGAGCGACAATTTAGTTCTATTTTAAATTCTTTTTACTAAAGATAATATTTTCATAAGAGAGTATGTACACAAAATTTTCAATCTTCTTCCTTCATTTCAGTGTAGTCTAATTTCTACATCTACATATATTTATGATCCTTTCTTTTCAAAATAAATGACAAAAATGAAATTTATATCACAATTTATTTCAAAATTACATGTATTAATTGATAGCAATTGTCTGTTGGTTTTCGCTGATTTGGTCAGCTTCAGCGTGATCTTGCTTATAACATTTGCATACATGTTTGAATTAAAGGTCAGTCAGTATATAATACAAAGTTTCCGTGTATTTATTAAAATTTCTACAGAAAAGAAAAACAAAATAAGGTTTATTTTCAAATAAAGCGATTTATGTTAAAAATTTCTTGTATGTATTTTTGTGGATGTCAATGTGTTTATTTTTTTGTTATTTTACGAAACCTTTAATTTGTAATCCCGGTTTTTCCTGTGATCCAGTTTTACCGCGTCCATAAATTTTATCAAGGCCTAAGCAGTTTGAGCCAAAACGATTGCCGCGCAAGGCATCCTATTTTTATACTTCTTTGTTTACTCGGAGTGCTACCGCAACATTTTTGTGGACAAAAAAGCAACCACCACCTCCACTCCATCCCCCACATTTTTTTTAACCAAAATTATTTTTATTTGTATTTCCAGGGGCGCTTTTTATGCACCACTTTTGTTTCCAATAAAGTTTGATGTTGTATTGAACCGCATTTCAAGTAACAGCTTTTCAAAAAGCTTGCCTGACTAATACCATCAATATTTATCGAACCTATAAGCATGATAAGTTGTACAGGTTTACATAGGGGAGGGGGGAGGGGGGCGTAAATTGTTTCAACAGAGTAAATTATGAAGATGTTGCACAAAACATTCATCAGAGCAATGGAAAAAGAACACATTTTATATAAATCGTAATCGTATATATTGTTTGTATCTCAAATAAAATAAAGAATTCATGTACATGTCCCGCTGTAGATTCGAACCCGTGACGTAAAGATGAACAACTCGATCACTCCGCGAGTCTGGTTTTAGAAGATGAAGTGAATAAGGAAAAAAACTAATGTAATTGATTAATGCTAGAGAGGTTACATAAATTAGATTCAAATTAGATTCAACTGCATACAGCATAGGCTTTGAGAAAGACAGCTGAAAATATGATAACAGCAAGAAATTGGTAATCGTAACGGTTATGACTGACATGCAGAATATGTTTAATGGTTTCTTGCCAACGCATCAAAGATTGTTGGAAACGTGGGATAAATAAAGCCCTATATGCTTAAATGACCCATGCAACAAACTTGACGGCGATATATGAATGGCGACAGGCGCGGATTCAGGAAGTTTTTCCCAGGGATGAGGGGTCCACATCAAAAATATTTGTACGAGCAAAAAAGTAATAAACTTTCTCAATCCTGAATTGTGAGATGACACTTTCATAAGTCTATATCCTCTGTATTTGTAGGAAGAATCCCCCTGGAGGACGGGGTGTAGGGGGCTATGATCAGATGTATATTTGGCCAGTGCATCCTCGTAAGATATGTTTTTGTTCGTTTCGTTTTTATTACTTTAAATGATGTAACTTCTAACTCACTTCACAATATC